ACATGTGCATCGGGACGAGCACTGTGGGAACAAATAAACACTGTAGTAAAGTTAGAAAAGCAGATGAGAACAAGTGACTCAAGATATCTGCAACTTCTTCAACGTCTTCGGAAAGGCGAATGTACAGCTGATGATCATGAATTACTGACGACACGAGTTGTAGACCCAAATCACGATGTGAAATCTCTCGATACAGATGAATGGAAAAAAGCACCGATCCTCGTTTTCAGAAATGAATTACGCACTGAATTGAATGTTCTAGCTACCGTGTTCGAAGCATTTGAAAAGAATGTTAAGCCGTTGGTATGCATTGCTCAAGACGAATTGAAAATTAACATCGACAATCCGGATTTTCACAAGCACCTCCTCGAATTACCAGATAATAAAACAAAATACCTACCTGGATACTTACCGTTAGTTCCGGGCATGTATGTTCTATTGACGCAAAACATAGCTACAGAATTGAAATTATCTAATGGTACAACGGGAATATTTCGCGAATTAGTCTACGAGCAAGCAGATAACAATCTCAGCAACGTGGATACAACAAAGTTTCCAACACAATCCATCTATATCCAAAAACCATTGTATGCGCTAGTAGAAATAGAGAATTCACGAACAAACAAAGTGTTTGATACACTTCCTCCGAAACTCATACCAATTCCTCTTGTAACACAAAAATTCATGGTGAATATCAAAGGTTTCCTGGAGGAACACAAAGATGAATTAAAACAAGGAGGGAAAAAACTGAAAAGCCACAACCTTACAATTAAAAGAACACAACTACCACTCGTGCCCACGTACGCTATGACTACCCACAAAAGTCAAGGACAAACGATGCCCAAAATCGTTGTCGATCTTGTCTTTCCTCCGAGACCCTGCAAACCTCCGGTTGCACAAGCCTATGTACCGCTATCGCGAGTGAAGGAATTGAAACATTTAGTTATTTTAAGGGAATTTGACATTAAGAACATACGGATCAAACCGAACGAAGAGCAGCTGCGAGAATTAAATCGACTCGACGCATTAGAGAAGGAAACCAGGAAGAGGTATGAACTCAAATCTTCCATTTTTTAACTTTCTCCGTTCCTTTTTTTGGCGATATTTATTTTGTCTAAAATTCGCGAAAGTCGACGTAGTAGTGAAAATTAACAATCGGCAACGATTAAATCTAATCGACCGCGTCCGCTGCTTCTGTGCTTCGAAAATTCCCCCACCGCTATACATAAAGAAATAGCCCCTGACATTGATCCGCAGTAACTCGTGTATATATTTGTAAATATGCCGTCCAATTACATTTGTGATTTTTTTTGTTTTTAATTTTGTGTTTGTTCTTCTTATTTCTTTAGTACATTGCTTTTTAGCATTTTATCGGATCCCTACACGCCGTATACACGATATTTGTATATGCTTCATTACAGTGTGAAGTCGAAAATACTTCTAACTATGTGAATAACAAGTAGCCAATTCGGTACACTTCACTCGATATTACTGTGTACTCGATATTTGCACAGAAAGCTTGTTTATTCAGACACCGCAGTAGAAGTATAATTCGAGAAAGAAACACCCATAGATGGAGAAATGTTGTCGTTTCTTTTTATGGTATATTCAGAGTAGAGAGTTGCGGGTACCGTTCGGCACTTTAAAATGTTAAAAAGTTTTGAAAATCTCTTGTCTAAAAATGCCTATTTCTTTAGCTATTAACCGGGGGCGTCCTCCCATTCAGATTTGGTTCAAACTTGCTAGATTCTAGAGGACACTTCAAAATATATATGAAAAAATTTTGGAGGTTTACGGACTTGTAGTTTTCGAGAAAAAAATTTTTAATTTTTTTGGCTTGTTTTGCCCATTTTTTAAAATATAAATAAAATTTTTACTTTTCAGTTTGAAACCTCGGTTCTGTAACCAATCGATAGAGTGCCTCGAGATGTATATGTGAAAAGATTGTCGTCGTTCCCCGGCAATTTTTGGCGGAGAAATTCGGATTTGACCTTCATAATGTTTTTTTGGAGCCCAAAACTGTGCTTTTTCGCGATCTTGCCTGTAGTTTTTCTCCGAGGAAGCATTTTCGAGCGAAAATATGAGTGTAGAACTTGTTTATCATGTTGTTTTCTATGAGATAATACTTTTCTGTCGCTAAATTTCTTAAGGCCAATCTCTAAAACTAAAAATATTGAGACGCTGCAATGAGGAGAAAAGGCGCTCAAACTTTTACGCTACTTTCTCTTTTCTTTTGAGCCAGAAGATAGCTTTCAGAAAATCTTCAGCGCATCGAACATAGACACTGTCACATACGGAATCGTCCAGGACCTTGCACAGAGTTTCGCTTCAGGAAAGCATTGTGGAACAAAAGTGTGGCAATAAAAATTGTTCAGCATCAAATTCTGCGTGAAACAACCAAAGGAATTTTTGAAATTCGTAAAACTCAATTTTTAAATTAAATTTTACGAAAATTGAAACTGCAAAAAACAGTATTTTGAGCTTGACAATCGAGTTTAAGACATTTCAAAAATTCCTTCGGTAGTTTCACGGAGAATTTGATGCTGAACAATTTTTGGTCCCACACTTTTATTCCATAACGCTTTCCTAAGGCGAAAGACTGTTCAGGGCTTTCTTAAAAATACTTTTTGCACTAGAAATGATATGGGCAAATCAAAATCAAGTTTCTCCGTCAGACTTCACCCGATAACGGCAAAAATTGTTTTTTTATATAGATCTCAATGTGCTCTCTCCAATGACGGCATGCAAGGTTCTATCTCGAAAAATGAAATATTTATGAAAGTTTTAAAAACTAGACAAAAAACCTAAGCAGAACTTTAAAAAAAAATGTCCGAAAAACTACGCACCCCGAAACCAAAAAAAGGCTTGAAGTATATGTTTTGAAGTGTGCTCTATAAGCTGGTCGAAAAAAGGGGGGAAGGACACCCCTTAACTAACGCTTAATAGGCAATGAACTACACTGTTTTCGACGTCCCGGGTATTCCGTCCATCCACTTGCACATTTTCTTTTAGAGACAAAAAGACGTGTTCAAAAAAATTACATTTTTCTCTCAGTTTCCGTCATGAGAATGCAAAATTTGAATATATTCAAAATTCTTTCTAGTTTACGTAATTTTTCGCATATATTTCTAGAAGATCCTTCAGAAAGTCAATAATGAAATTTTTTCCTCATCATCTCAAATAATTGAGAAAAAGGACGATAGTAAAGTATATACTCGATAGCTCAGTGGACAGAGCAGACAGAAACAGAATTCTTACGGCGTGCGTTCAATTCCTGCTCAACTCGCTATATATTTTTGCTTCTTTTGTTTCTTTCTCTTAAAAACTTTCCAAAAGCTTTTTTGCTTCCCGACTGGCAGTATCCCGCGCCGATTTTGATGGATACATATACAATCGACTATCCTCTATCCGAAAATGTAGTTTCCATCCACTCTAGTTCTATTTAAAAATTTTACCTATCGGTTATATGAGATAAAAGTCAAGAGAACAATATAAATTCTTATAAGAGAGAAGAATAAATAAAAAAGAGTGCCCTTACTTTCTTACTCAAATAGGATTAATCAATCAAAAAAGACGATAAGCTAGCACTAACCTCGCTCCTAGCATTTAGTCCTAGCGTATCTTAACCCAGCATAACTGAGAAATGTTGCGAATTTATGTGATTTCACAGAAAAAGGGTACAATGTAATATAAAGCTAAAAAGTTTTCTGGACACCCACAGAAGATCCGAAGAGACGCTGTAAGTATTTCTGATCAATTCGCCATGGTAGACTATCTGTTTTCTGTAACTTTTATTATCCTTATGCGACTTTTTTTGTGTTATCAAAACGGACTGATTTCTGGTGACCTCTATCTCCCCACCACAGAAACGTTTGCTTAGTTTTTTTTCTCTCTGTATCAGTAATTATTTTTCCAGTCATCTCTTTGAATATTTTCTCCCTTCTGTAAATTCTGTAAAAAATAATTTTCTACTTCCCTCTCTTGTGATTCGCTTATCCATAGAATATCTAGTACCCATTTTTCCGTATTTTGCGCACACACAGACACACAGACACACAGACAGACAACCAGTTTGTAAGACCCTAGACTAAAGTCAAGGGAATAAGGAACCCGCTGTCGGATTCACCGACAAATTTTGCATTTGGCGCCCAATTTTTATCCAATTTGGTTCAGCGCGGAGCAAGCACCAGATTTTCTAATGGAAACAAAACGAGTAGCAAGACAAAATAACTAAGGAGACAGGCTAAACAGTAAAGGGAAGATGGACATCATAGAAATTAAAAAGTACTGTGTCTACAGTTATTCAGATCTGTTTGTTTGTTGAATATACATGAGGACTACATCCAATGAACATGCTAAAGTGTCATGATCTACGCAACCCAATAGCAGTGTCAACTGTGAAAGTAGACATGAAAGAAAGTTTTTGTAGAAGATATTGCCGTTAAGTAAAGTACAAAAAATAGTGGTAGATATCCTCCTTATAATCTTCACAATTACATTCAAGTGAATGTATGTAACCACGCTGACAGAGATAGTAATTTAGTCGCTGAATATATGTGTTTATTCGTATAAAGATAACTTAACCCAAGCATGAAATTCATAAGAAATAAGCTAGCTGCTCTTGTTGAAGAAGTGCCTACTTCTCCAGCTAGCTAAAAGAGTAAAATTTAGCGGATGTAGCTAGCTGCAACAGGACAAACACGTTAACCCACTTCAGTACTAATTGTAGCGGGTATATGAGTGAATTGCAAGCCATTTGTACCGTTTGCACGGAAAAAATGGTCTCGTATGGTATCTCCTGCAGTTGTTAATCAAACTTGACGATTTCTATAGGATATATTACCCATACCCATGGCTAGTTCGTCCACTAAGATTGGCCTAACAACTGCTAGAGATTTCGAGATTTTTAAAAAATAATGTCAGTTTTTCATCAAAATTTCAAGTGGCCACGTCGACCAGTGA